ATCACCCTTATTTGACCCTATAAATTATATTGAGAATGGCAGGATTTGAATCTCTCCATTACTGAGATCTCCACAACACTGAAGCATTGTTATAAAGAAAAGGCTAGTTGTTTATTCTTTGTATTACCACTAATACACAGTGCAAAGTGCTTATGTTTGCTGCAACTTCATTGGCTTCAGTGATAAATAGACCAAGAAAAAACTGGCTACGTTACTTTTTTCCTCTCTATGGCTCTCTGTACTGGGGCTCTTGTTGCTCCTAGATTGCTTATTAATTGAGGTAAATAAAGTCTCTTAGGTGGTTTACTGACTCTTTTGTTTCTTTTTGTAGCAGAATGTAGAGAGGTTTATGCTGATATGCATTTCTGTAGCTGTAGAGGAAGCCTTGCTTTTGCATAAAGTGGTCTTTAGTCTGTGAACATCAGTGCATTATTTTGAGGACAGAGTTGTTAGCTGCGACCCTGTTCCAGTGCCTGATGCCCAGGTATGTCCTGTTGCTTTAGCACAGCGAAGGCCTGTACTATGAAAGTCTTCTAGCTGACTGAAGATAATAGAAAAAATCATATTGAAGTTACTCTAGTAAAATGGAGATTTCTCAAGAAGTATAGAAAATCTTGAATGATCCATGTTCCCTTTTTTTTTTTTTTTTTTTTTTTTTTCTTCTATCAAAGGAAACAAAGCTAGAGCAATCTTGCAATCACGGGTGTTTTGTTCTGTCTCCTAGAATGTCTTTTGGTCTGATCGAATTTCATGCAGTTACTTTTGACTGTGGTGAGACATATTCATCTCAATAATGATAGAAGATTATTAATACTAGTAAATAATGTTTTTCTAGACCTTGTCTTTTATTTTATTGCTATTCTTTCTCATCTGTCTGTAAGCAAGTTTAAAAAGAAATCCGTAAAGGTTTCCTTAAAGGACTCCAGCAATGGCAATAGGTAGGGTTACTAGCCTTGGATGGGCCAAAATTGCTGCAAAGTACTCTGGTTAAAAGGTAAAAAGCTGAAGGAATGTAGGAATGCATGAAAATCCACTGGAACCTGGAAATAACCTTTTAGTGTTATAGCACCTATTTACTGCACAATTATGGCTTGAATTCAGAAATTTATTACAGTTACATATCAGTACCTTTTATTGCTTGGTCAGATTAGAGAAAGGACTCTCTAAGTACCTTTTTTTCCTTTTTTCTTTTTTTCATTATCCTGTTCATTATGATGACAAATTCCCAATTCTTTTCCCTTATAGGTATCATCTGCATTTATGCTGCATAATAAGACAGACTGGAATCTGAGTCAGGGTTTAGGGAAAGAGGTTAATTAAAGAACTATAGGGTTTACACAGCAACTTGGAAAACATGCCACTTAGCCTTGAGTTCATGGATTTGTGAAGCTAATAGGTTCCCAAATAATCCCTGTGAATGCAATTACAAAGAGGTGGGGAAAGTAGAAGAGCAGGAGTGACAAGGAGCAGATACTAGCCTCAGCTGAAGAGTGCTGGCCTGGCATTAGTGAGTAGCTGAACAAAGCTATCTGCCTTACAGTGTCTTGCCTTTCCTCCCACTCTCACACAAAATTTGTATTTGCTAATAGCACTGAAATATCACACTGTAGAAAACAGTTGCTGCAGAAGAAACGTCTGGTTCCACAAGGCTCAAGCAGTGGCATGAAGTGCTTCAAAAAATTCTTCATCAAACCTTGTTCTTTTAACTACTTTTAGCCAACTTCTGAAAACAGGCCAGTGGTAAACAGTGAAAGGAATCCAGTGTTCTTCTATGTGGCTTCTGATCATATCTCTTGATAATAATCTGATTTTTTGGATTATGTGAAAAATAATATCTCTTGGTGGGGAGCAGGCTTTATGCACGTCTTTTTTCTTCATGTCACAGCAAGAATTTGACTTCTGAAGCTAACCTTGTAAATTTAGCAACGAAGGTGTGACCTATGCAATTCACAGAACCCCCTACAGCACGTTGAGAGATACAATCCTACACTGAGCTATTTCAAAGACAAATCTCTTTGAGCAGCTGCCATGTAGCCTTGGGTACTGCTGTTGCTCCCTACACTTCTTGCTCTTACCCTGTGAAAGACAGTGTGGTGTTCTGCAGCCCTTCAGCTGATGAGCTGCCTGGTGGAACTGTTGTTGTACCTAGGCAGGCACCAGGTGGCTCCTTTTTGGCTGTTCTAGAAAGGCAGGGGGTAAGGGCAGTAGGAGTTGGCGTCTGGGATAAAAGTAAGGTGTCATTGGCAGACAGTGCTGCTTGGAAATGAATGATGAAGGGGCTGAATGTGCATAAACAAGACTATCTGATAGAATTAATGCTGTAATTGGGATTTTCTCCCTCTTCGACCATCCAGTAGGAAGGATGCTGGCTGATCTACGCAAGATTATTTTTTTTATTGTTAGACTTGTAGTACAGCCCCTCTTCTATCTTGGAAATTATTGCACCAGTATGAAGAAGTAACTTCCTTACTCTGTCAGCCAGCTGCAAACTGCATGTGTATTTTCAGCCATAATTCCTCTGTATTGAGCGTGTACTTGTATTTATGTCTCCAGCTGGGGATATATTGAAGTCCCACAGTCTAGTTAAGAGTCAGCTGTACTGATTAAAGTAAGGAAAGAAGCTTTTTTGTCAACTTTGTTTTCCCAAACTCTGTCCCCCAGTGCTTTCTTCTGCACTGTGCTCCTTGACTGTGTTTAAAGCCTGCCATCCTGCTTTGATGTTTTTTGTTTTTGTTTTTTTTCCCTGAAGGCCAGCACTTGGTCATCTGACAGCACTATATCTCAGAGTAATGTTTAATATCCACGAAGTTCTGACATAGATATGGTGTACCTCAAAGGCTTTGACTGGCTTAGAGAACTAAGAAAATCTGTTTGGACTGAGCCAGAAAGTCCTCCAGTCAAAAATTCCTGGGTCATACAGATGCGAATTTCATGGTTGCAAGCTAAACCAGGAAATTTTCAATGTGATTTTTGATGTCTGTTAGGCTAATACTTTGATGGCATTTGAGAACCAACCTGTATTTATGTAAGATATTTTCCTTCCTCGAAAAACATGTTTCTGCATAACTGTCTTCCCATAGATGATAAAGAAAAAGACAAAGGGGACATACTAAACGTTTCTAAGGAAAAGATGAATGCCCTAAGTATCTATAAGGCTGTTCTGTACAAATGCTGTGGATTTACTACATCTAGAATTGGTTGTTCTGAAGTATCTTAAATATCTGCTAACTTTTCAGAATTTACATTGATACATAACATGGAGGAAATATTCTGCTCATGATTAAATAATATTCCTGAAATGTTTAAGTCTTCAAAGCAGATGAGGACACTTCCTTTCTCAGAAGATAAATGAGGAAGATATATATATACACTTTTTTAATTGTAGTGGAAAAAAGAGACAACTCAGCTGTTCAATAAAGTAACTGGTTATACATGTGCAGAAGAAGCAGTGTTCAGTATGGAAACATCCAATTTTCAATGTCATGAAAACTTGTCATGATTTCCAGGCAAATTTTGCTTTCAGGTGTTGGAGCAGGCTGCCAAGATAGTGTAAGAAATAGGCAGATGTGGCACTGAGGGAAATGGTCAGCGGGCATTGTGGGGATGTGCTGGTGATTGGTGATCTTGGGTCTTTTCCAACTGCAATGACTGTGTGATTCCTGTTAAAAGGCAAACTAAGGTTCAGAAAATTGACACTTTTGGAATGATAATCGTAAAGCTTCCAAAGAATATTCATTCTTTGCTCTCTTTTTTTAAAGTTTTATTCTATATGAATGCTGCTATTGGTAGTAAATTTGTTACGTGTTTTCCTGTCTGAAGAAGAATATGACAAAAAATGTATCCACTGCCTGTACAATATTTTTTGTCCTTCCCTGAAGGTGTAATTTATATATGCATTTTGTAATAGTCTCTCAGTGTAAACATTCTAGGTTATGATATTTGCTGAAAAAAAAAAAAGAATAAATCAAATACTGGAGTAGCATCTGTATCTTTGACATATGCTTGACTGGTGCTTTTCAAGATACCCATTCAAAAAATAGGAGAACATCTTTTGAGAAAGATATATGTTTAGCTCTTTTATCTGCCATTCTATAAATACTGTTCTAAACTACAGTTTTAGACCTGTACTGAACCAGTATTGATATTGGCTAATCTGATTGTAGAAATACTTGTTAACATAAATTTCATGGTCATAATAGATTGATTTAAAATTGCAGCCACTGGATATGGGGGCTGTTTCAGTGGAATGTGTGGCTTTGTTCTTTGTGGGGTTTTGTTTGTTTTTGTCTTGTTTTTCTTAAGAAAAGGATGGATATCAAGTTTTAAATGGCTTTTCTTGATGGATGTGTTGTTGTATCATATTCTTTTGATCATCCTGTTTTCAAAATACAGTTTCTTTCTATTTTTCTTAATCCTTTGTTCCACAGTTTGTTAGATCGTTTGCTTTTGCTGTATAATACTATTACAAGTCTTATAGCACCATTTATTTGATTGATGGAAATCAATGTGGGCACTTTTCCCCCTTCCTTCTTCTCTATCTGGGTAATACAATGGCTGAATATACTTTCATTTTATGTGTTGCATGTGTATATTTAAACAAACAAACAAACAAACAAAAACCTCATTTGCATATATATTTTTTGCTACTTCTTAAACCTTTCCAAACTGAATTGATTCTTTTGTTTTATTTCTTTTTTCTTTTATTTCGTTTCTTAGTCCAAGAATGCTTTTACCTCTGAGAATGGAGTTGGAACATTCAAACTTAGAACTAACATGTTACATTATATACAGAGATTTATTAACTTGGTGCATATGATATGGTAAAAGAATGTTTCAACTCAAATGTCAAAATTTCTTCAAAACTCCTAGAGACCATTTTAATTCATTGTAAGTTTTCTTTATTGACATATAGCAGAAAATCAACTTTGAAATTGCTAATGAAAGCAATGTTTGATTAAAAAGTATAGGAGTACTATTAAATGCTCCCCTTTTTTATGCAGAAACACGAACAGATAGAACAAAGAAACTGTTTAGACACTACACAGTTGGATCTTATGACAGCTTTGATGCTTCAAGGTAAGGATTTTTCTTTTTGGTTGCAATCTGTTTACAAAATCTTTCTGAGTTTTATTTAATTGTTACTTATGATTTAGACTTTAGAGAGGAAAAGGAAAGCAGATTACAAAACTGAATTTCTAAGATATCGTTCTACTTCTAGATCTTTTTAGCATAGTTTATTCTTTTCTTATGGAATGGGTTCACAAAAATCATGAATAATGAAGTAATAGCAAATTTATGTTCACTATTATGTTTTTATGAGCAGTGAAGGAGATCAGCATCTCAGAGAAGCTGTATGTTCTAGCTGTTTCCACAGTCAAAGGCCACTTAAGCTGGATATTTCACAAGATCAAGCTTTGTCTATCTATTTGCAGGATCATACTTGCTGATTAGAAAACCAAAACAAAGTTTTATGACTTAATTTTCTGAATGATATCTTAGATCCAAAGCAGAAATTAAGCTGCTGGAAATTAGAAATTTTACAATTTAGATAAATTGTTTCTGGTTTCTGCTGAGTATTCATGATTTCAAAGCAGGTTTTTCTCCTGCATGTGCATAGGATGTATAGCCAGCTTCTGGTAGGAAGTTAGCTATTGGTGTCTTGAGAAAATTGTGGTGGCATACTGGAATTTCTTATGCTTTTCTCTTGACTGCCTAATTACAGCTTTTCAAGAAAGACACCTTTTTTGTAGAAGAGTTCTGAAATGTGTAAAGCAATGATGGCAGAGTTTCATGTGGCATGTTATCTATTTCAAGAAAAAAAGAAAGTGGTAACTGCTGTTTCTATTATGTGATCTTAGTCCAAGTTCTGAGGGTTATGCGTAATTTCTATGCCAGTTAAACAACTTGGAAGAATTTGGAGGGTGAAATTCATGTCGGATGAAGTTGTTTGGATGCCCAAGGCATCCTTCCCTGTTCCTGCTGGTCAGTGTGCAAAGCTCTGAAAGGCAGAGAGCCTGCTGCTTGTCTGCTGCTTACAGCTTGTAAATATTTGGAAAATACTAATGCTTTAGTCCTATTGAGTTGTAATTTGAAGGACTATTGCAGTGCTGGATGAAGAAGGAAGGTTTGGTGGCACAGTGGGAGAATGCACAGACTTGTGGGTGAGATATGATTATCCCATCTTAGAGTATCTGATGTTCCTGTTACAGAACACAGTGTGCTGTAGGGCATCAGCTCTGGCTACTGTGGAGCAGAGAAATCCCATTTCCACATCTTGCATATTTCCCTGCTGTGATCAGCCAAGTTAACAGAGCTTTGCACAGTGGGACAATGATGTGATTGACTACATAGTCTAATAATGATAAAGTTGTCAAGAAAAGCTATTATTCTGTGCTATGAAACACGTAAATGTTCTGCAGAGCAAGAGAACTGGTTAAAAGTTTCATTTTCAGAGAGCCATGATGGCTTTTTGCAAGACCATCTGATCATTCTATAACCATAGCCTTGTCTCTGTATTTCAGAGTTAGCAGAGTTGTTTCAGTAAAGCAAAAAGTGATGGCTATATCACATTGCCTCACATATAGAAAATAGTTCCACTTGGAAACCTATCCTTAATGATAATTTGAAAATGACAAATTCTTTCTTTTTTTTTTTCCTACTCTTAAAGTATTGGATTTGTGTAATGCAACAAAGCTCTAACGCGTTTACATTGTCTAATTCAGGCTACAGGGAGGAAAGTTGATCAGATAAAATGAAAAGTTTTCATACACACCTTAGTCATTGAGTGATCAGATTTGAAGTATATTTAAAATTGTTCCTGATTTTGTCAACAGTGTCTTGTAATTGTCTGACGAGTACAAGAAAAAGCAACAGAGTTCTCTTGGCAGCTTCTGAATAAAGCAAAGTTTTGGAGAAAATAAATTTCCCCTGAGAATCTGAATCCCAGGGGTCCCATTTTGAAGGATCGTAATGATAGCCCAGCAGTACAAGCTGAAATGAATACTTTCTCCTACCTTACCATTTTAATGGGAAAATTCAGGAAATATAACTGAAAGGTATACCTGTCCAACACTTTTTTTAAAGAGAAAAATGTTAATTTTAGATTTTTTTTTTTTACAATAATACAAGAAAACTTAAAAATTTAAAAATTGGTGACTGAGTTTCCAAAAAAGAAAATCAATTTTCCCTGAGACACATATAATTTGCTGTAATGAGGTGTTTACTGGGAACATATGCCACGTTGCAAGGTAACCTTCCTTCTTCATCCTTTTCAAACACGCCACATAGAAGAGAAACAGCATTCTGGTACTTGCTTTATTAAAACTGCAATAGCAAACATGCAGCAGCATGAAGTTGAGATTCAAATACTGGACTGAGAACAGTAGATCAGCTTTTTGTACATCTAAATGCTAATTTTACTGTTGCTTAAGTATTGTGGCAAAGAAAAAGAATTTGTATTTAAGAACGACAGGAGATTGGTGTGACTTTTTAGTATGTTGAGTACATTTAACTCCTAGCATGGGCTTCTTCAGAGAGAGATTGTTAAAAGTGGCAAACATGATGTCAAACTGACAACAGTTTGTGATACTTCCAAGTTAGGAAGTAATCAAAGCAGCATACTATGTTATAGTTTCCTATCAAAGTAAAGGAAGAATACAGGAAGAAAAAAAAAGTATAACTGCTCACAGATGAGCTTTAATAAACATTTGTTAGAAGGCGATTGTGTTTATCTGCTAAGAAGAGCTTTGAAACCAAAGTATTAGCAAATATGACTCAATTCCTTTCCAGAGATGTGGGGGAGTGAGGGGAAGTCTCTGTTCCACTCATTTCTCCTTCCTGCTCCCAGGAAGACAAAAACTGCTGAGTAGAAATATTCTGTTCAGAAATCTATATTAATAGGCTTATTCACATGCAGGAAAATGTATTGTACGTGGCATTTTTCATCTTTAGGAAAATGTGCAACTTGAGTAATGAAAGTTCATTAAATCTTATTTCAGCTTCGCATAAGATATGAATTATCCGTAAATTAATATTCCATGAAAATGGATAGTATGCTTACTAACGTGCAGAAAGGCAGTGAGGATTCCTTGCCAGTACAAACAATCATTAAATATCATATTTATATAATGTTTGGAACTACTGAGACTAATGTATCAACTGACTTCAATGCTGATGGGATGTATTAATTCTGTTATGCAAAAATGACGTGGTCTCTTGAACCTGACATGTGCTGCCACCGCTGCCATTCCTTTACAGCAATTTCTATACTATTTTATTAAAAACTTTTAATAACTAATTTCTTTCAGTTTCCTTTAATCCTATGCAGATGAACACTGAAGGGAAGGATAGGCTTTGTTGCAATTGCAGACATTTGAGAGAGGATAAAGCCTCTTATGCTAGGAGGATAAATGGGAATACGTACATGTCTCTGGACATTCGTCTCAGGCTTCAGCTCCGGAGGCTGAGCTGAAAAATGGGATTGTTGGTTTCCTTCTGCATCCCAGATGGAAAACACAGAGAGCCCCATGCCTGCAGTGGCTGGACTGTGGCATCAAACTCAAGGAAATAGAAAAGACCCTCTAGGGCAACAAACCCCAGGCTAGAGTCTCCACTTGATGGCATGCCTTGTAGCCTCAGATAGGAGCAGGAAGTAGGCACAGACAAAAAGCAGATACACCAATGCAATTGCAGGGAGATATATAAGACAGCTCTGACACATCCCTAGAGTTCTTTGGCTATCCCTGCTTTTGTGTTCAACGGTAGTTCCAACAACCATGAGATGCTGCTTCTGAGAGTTGGAGGTAAGGGGCAACCTACCAAGTCTTGTCTGGAAAAATATTTGTTTGTGTTTGTCTTGAGTAGACTGAGTGGGTGATGTTGTACAAAGAAGAAGCTTCCAGAAAACAATTTGTATGCCTTAAACCAGTAACTTCATGAAGTCTTGTTGAATTTCAGTTTAGTAAGAGAAATTAATACTAAGGCATAGAATGGATGTTGAATTATTTTTTAATTTAAATTAAAATCATTATAGATCTTTACAAATTGTAATTTTTAATCTGCTTTTTAACATGCAGTGAGGGAATTGATTCCATCAAGATAGGTTAGGGAGTTATTCACTCAGGAAAATCAGAGGGAAGACAAAATTAAATAAGTTAAAATGTGTAAGATTAATTACTTGTGCACTTTCACATGTAAAATATTAGCTACCTTTTGAAGGATGTTATTGTTGATAAAGTAACTTAGTTTTATTACTCTACAGACATAAATGTGAGATTTCAATAGTGTGTAAGGATTGCAAACATGGTTTGGTGGAAACACACGATCCAGTCACCCTCATGGATTTGGGAACTTTACAATACACATGTGGAAACTTGTACTACTGCATTAATTGCATCGTCTGCCTGCTACCTTCAGCAGTATAGTCAAATAGCGAGTCAATAGGATAATTGAATTGCCAGCTTCTATGCAATTACAAAGTATATGATATAAATATAAGGTTTAATGTCCCTTCCATTACTTCCCCTTTCTTCACAGTCCAATTGATTTTCACATCTTTTTTTTTTTTTTTTTCCCTAACCACTTTAACTGGTACTAATCACTGCACAGAAACTTTCTTGGTGTCTTTTCATGACCTGCTTTTACTACAGCACTATTAAGAAGCACATGTGAAAAGATGTAATAAATTTTTTTCAAAGGCTGATTGCTACTGAGTTAATGATGGTAGTGAATTTATTTGCTTTCTGATGGTAGTTCTATCTTTTTGGATGAAGAGAAAGAGGAAAATTTGACTGTGTAGTCATACACAATGATATGTGTAAGAAAGCTTAATTAAAAGCTTAATTCATTAACCCTAATGGCCCTGCCTGGACTCCAGTGGCAGCATCCACATCTCACGAGCGTAGAAGCTGATGGAAGCAACTCCTTAAAAACCAACTGATGTACAAACATGTAATGAAAAAAAAAAAAGAGATCCTTCTCAGCTTTCTATCTTATTAATTCGCTATTGATGTTGTCATCTGCAGTGTTGGGTAGAGTTGTATATGCTTTAACAAACAGCTCCGAGAGCCTCCTTAGTG